CACCGGCGGCCGGATCTTCACGGCGGGGCCGGTCCTTCCAGGCCAGACCCGTGCCGTCTAGAGCTGCCGGAGACACCGGACGGTCGCCAACGTCCCGTTCCATACGACGGACCGGCCAGACGGACTCGCGCTAGGTCGCGCTACTTTGTGTAACCTACCACGTGCGGAGTCGAGGCAGCCGGAGCGCCTCGGCACTGCGTGGGTCACAGTGACACTTGGCGCGTTCGTTTTACGGTGTTCGCTTTTATTGTGTTGTTCGTCGGGCTGTATATTGCTTCATATTTAAGGTTGTGTTATGTTGTTGTTGTTGTGTTACGGGGCACACTGGGATGTGGAGTTCTTTATTACTGCGTTGCGTTATGTTGTGTTGTAGGTTAACAGCCGGGCCGGCTGCAAGCTATGTGGGAGGGGGTGATGTAGAGGTGATACGCGCTGGGATTAAGGATCGTAGGCACAGTGCGTGATGATTGGCTGTGTAGGTGGTGACGCGCGCTGACGGTGGAGGATCAGGGGTCAGCGCGGGGTCGTGGGTTACGGGGTACCGATTGGCTGTGGGCGGTGACGCGCTGAGAGGGAGTGATCAGGTGGCAGCGCAGTGTGATTGGTGGAGTAATGTTAACACGCGCTGGGGAAAGCGGATCGTAGAGAGAGTGCGTCGTGATTGGGTCATTAAGGAACGACGCTCACGTCGACGCCGCATCAGCTCCGTCCCTCGTGAGCAGGGGCTATAAAAGGGGATGCACACAGGCGTAAGGGCAGTGTGTAACCAGCGAAGAAGGAAGACGGGGATGAAGACCTAGAGCCCTGCGGTACCTAGCCCCGCTGTCCTAAGGGGACCGGGACTCTGTGTAACCCAGAGGCGAGTGTAGTGGGTGTAGCCATAGGTCTACACGAGCCGAATGTACTATGTGTAGCCAGGGCATAGGGCTTACACGAGTCGAGTATATTGTGTGTAGCCAGAGGCATAGGGTCTACACGAGTCAAGGGTATCGGGTGTAGCCAGAGGCCTAGAGCTTACACGAGATTAGTGGAGTGTGTCGGAGGAAGAAGAGAGACCACACGTTGTATTGTGATACCTAAAGGATTGAATAAAAGTGTGTTACCCGTCAAGAAGTTCCTGCCGTCAATTCCCATACTTCACTAGGATAGTTTTCTCAAGCGTTCATCCCATAATAATTGGGTAGGTGCTATGCATTGGTTTATTGTTAATCCCACGTTTCAGGGAATCTGCTCAACCTAGAATATAAAGTGTCACATGTATGTCTTCCCTACCTCTCTCCACAAGGTTATTATGTTAGCAGAGACAGTGTTTTAAAGGTCCCGTGACTTTTCCACCACTTTCAAGTGTCCTTTGGTTATTAGTAGTGAGGCTTATGGCGAGTTGATGACATAAGTGATGTGACAGGAATGACATTTCTTGCCATATCTACATGCACATTCATGTTGGTAACTTTTATTGTTAGTGTTCAAAATGTCATATTTTTGAGTGAACATATTGCAGTGCCAATATGTACTGCGTGCGGACAAAATTCCCCTTTTTCGGAAATGTTTTGTGTATTTATGATAGTGAAAAAAATTCCCATCTACACTTTGCTATGGAAGTTGCATAGGCGATAATATTAGTATAGAGGAGTGAAATACGCGGTGCGCACAGTTAACCGAGGGCAATTGAGGACAAACAGGTGCCCGTGTGAACATGAGGTTTGCATGGACAAACCGCCAGTTGTTAAGGGGCGAAGCAGGTGCAAACGGGGTCGACCGGTTGTGCACGTTGAGACCAGAGGTGTTGCCAAGGAGATGGGAGATAAGGGTTGAGTGATGGGCCAACAGGCGCCGGCCATGCGAGAGCTTAAAGAGACGAGAGGTCTTGGATAATTAGCAGAGGGATATAAGGGTGTGTGCGTGAGCGGAGGGGTAGTTGTTGCCGGGGACGAAGAGTGAAGACATCTCGCCGCTGTCGCTCCAGCCGTCAACAGGACCTCAACCCTCACGTCGTCGCCGGGCGGGTGTTGGCTGATCCCCCCGCCCAGGACAGATGAGCGAGCGGGCCTGAGCGAGCATAGGTGATGGCAGCAGTGGAGATGTAGAGTTCCGGTGCGATAGTAATGTCCCATACTGTTTGGACCATACGTCCTTTTGAAGGGATTTTCAGAAGGAGTATATGCTTCCGCGGACCATCCTCTATAGGTTGCACTGCTCTCTGAGAGTTCTGGATGGATTAATTATTTTAGGCGCGATAAGGAAGCGTAGTGTGGAGGAGATATCACAATTTAACACACGTGCACATTTTCAAAATCTACATCAAAACACGAACCAGTGTCAGTGAATCATGTACCAGTGTAATATAATGCTTAAAATGAATAAACCTGAATGTACATGAAGCAAGGTCTTATTCAATAAAGATTACGTATATACAACCATTATGAAAACTCTGCGAAGAGGGAGAGGCAAAAGAGAGAGAAACGGAGTGTTCCATACCCCCTGTTCACAACCATTAATTAACTGTATAATGGTGAGCATGTCCAGTTGAAGCTGCCTGACAGGTAGTCAGACCAATTTCCTGTTCACCTTGAGGTGTGACAGGGATGTCTTTTGGCCCTTACACAATTTAACATATTGCTTGATCGTGTAGTTTTAGAAGCTTTCCATGGCTGTGCCAGGGAAATTTCAATCTGGTACAGATGCAATGGGAGGCTAATCGATGCCCGGTATGAGGTTAAAGGATGACTCAATATGGTCAAACATATTACGCAAGCTGCTGATCTGACCTGGTAATCGCTTTTAAAAAAACTCAGCACTTCAACTCCGCATGGGTGATGGGACAGTTGTCAAGAGAGTGGACGCGTTTCCATACATGGAAAATGTGCTTTTTGACGAATTCCGATTTGGCATTAGAGATTTCACTCCGAATCAGTCAAGAGGCAGGATATTTTCATCTGCTGCGTAACTCTTGTTTGTGGAAGCTGCACGACAATAATAACTAAGCTTGTAGCAACATTTGTGAAAATGCTGTTTAAAATGTTTGAATGCACAGTAATGATCGAGAACAGGTCGGGTCACTCAGGGGTCAGAGTGCTCAGCCAGAATCGTTGAGATAATGGGTTTGAATCCAAGTAGCCACCTATGATACCATTTCCTCAAATGCAAACAGTTCATGGACTTAACCTGATCCTCAATGACAGGAGAGCAAACTGTTATGTATTATTTTTATCTTACTTAATTTGGCTGAAATTTCAAGTCTGCGGTTTTAACAATGGATCTGAAAAAATTGTGACCTGTTCTCTGGAAATCATACAAAGATCACCTAAATTATTATTTATTTATACTCCGTGAGATTTCTGAAAGAATTCTTAATAACATAAAACCAATAACACAATTGGAATACGAGAGAGAAAACAATGCTTTAAATATTGAAGGGTTATTCCCACACTTCTTGAGATGTATTCATCAATTTAAAGCTTTCGTGACTGCAGGGATTCATCTTCTTGGTTCTTTCGGTAAAGTCACGTAGAAGGGAAGTAATAAAATAATAAAAATAAAACATAATAAAACAATTCTCACGACGTTTCGGCCACAACGCAAGCAGCCGTCCTCAGGCGAAGAATGAAACACCACCAAGCTTGGAGCGTATATTTAAGCTGGGTTAGAGGGGGGGAGGTGGGAAGAAGAGCGCCTAAACAAAATAATTTGCATATCAAGAGGAATTCAGCATATGGAAAATGCGTAGGAGGTGGGCGGGGGGGGGGTTCCAAATCAATACTATGCCCGTGCATTATGCAGGATTAGCAGCATCAAAGGGGGGGGGGGGGAGGGGGTAGCATTAACAAAGGAAAGGAATGTTAATAGTATATAGCTGCAGTTACTAAACAACCACGTAAAAAACTAAAGTATAAACTGCATAACAAACTAAAGTATAAACTACATAGCATCATCAGTATACTTACTATACTCTACAATAAGCTGAGTTACTAACAGTAAGTAATATATAAAAACTCTACGTTGTAAAAAATTATATAATATGCTTCCATCTAAACTTTATTCTCTTACATCACACGCGTCTATACCGTACTATATACTGCCATAGGCAAACCCAACATTAAATTACATACTGCTTGATACTGTATTGCTAATATAACACTATGTATTATTCTACCCACCCTAATGTGTATCAAACACAGAGACAATTTTAACCGAGAAGATGGATTCTGGCTTAGCAATCACTGGAAGGACGTAATAAACCATTTTGATGGTTTATAGCAATACAGTATGTAATTTAATGTTGGGTTTGCCTATGGCAGTATATAGTACGGTATAGACGCGTGTGATGTAAGAGAATAAAGTTTAGATGGAAGCATATTATATAATTTTTTACAACGTAGAGTTTTTTTATATATTACTTACTGTTAGTAACTCAGCTTATTGTAGAGTATAGTAAGTATACTGATGATGCTATGTAGTTTATACTTTAGTTTGTTATGCAGTTTATACTTTAGTTTTTTACGTGGTTGTTTAGTAACTGCAGCTATATACTATTAACATTCCTTTCCTTTGTTAATGCTACCCCCTCCCCCCCCCCCTTTGATGCTGCTAATCCTGCATAATGCACGGGCATAGTATTGATTTGGAACCCCCCCCCCCCGCCCACCTCCTACGCATTTTCCATATGCTGAATTCCTCTTGATATGCAAATTATTTTGTTTAGGCGCTCTTCTTCCCACCTCCCCCCTCTAACCCAGCTTAAATATACGCTCCAAGCTTGGTGGTGTTTCATTCTTCGCCTGAGGACGGCTGCTTGCATTGTGGCCGAAACGTCGTGAGAATTGTTTTATTATGTTTTATTTTTATTATTTTATTACTTCCCTTCTACGTGACTTTACCGAAAGAACCAAGAAGATGTATTCATCACTTTAATTATATAATGTAAGGGCAAATGTTGACTAAAGAAAAATTATGGAGCCCCTGTCTCTTGCTATTTGTCTTCTTTTGCTCCTCTCTTGTAGACCTCTTCCCGGGCGACTGTTGGAAGTGGACCACGTTAAATGGTGGCCTCTGGTGAACATAGACGGTTCATGGGAGACACAGAAAGCAGCAAGAAACCCAGGCTGATGCGATGGTGGCCTCAGTGTGGCTTGAGACACGCTCAAATTGGCCTGGCCGCGCTGCTGTTCATCATCCTTTGGACGCTGCTGATAATTATTCTTTGGACGAAGGACACAGACTACACAATCTATCACACCTGCAAATGTGAGCCCCTTATTTAGGGGTTCATTCTGTTGTGCCTAATGACATTTTTTTTCACTCACTAACATATTTTATAGGGAAGCAGAGAAGTAAAAACATTTTCACGGGACTCGTTTATATATTGTGATGCAAGCAGGAAACATGCAAGATGTGTCCACAATGGCGGGTCTTTTCAGACAAGATATCGTTAGCCCCTTGAAAATCCAAGTTGACAGCCATTTGTTTAAGATGGCCACGAATAAATTCTATTTTCCCTACAGAAATTGACCGAGTTGTCCAGGTTTAGATGATTTAAGTGTCCATTTGTACATGTTTTTCCCCACGAAGGATATGTTGAAGTAGTCATCCTACAAGCACGTCTTTAGTTTGTGGGCATGTTTGAACACGGTTTATATTTTAAATCACAGTTAAGGCATGGTGCATATAAAACACACATGGCTATGGCACAGCCATAGAGTACAAAGAAGGAGCAGAGACAGACATAATCTCTTAAAGATCATGAGACTCCCTTCCCTCCTCCATGATAATGAAAAGATCGCCTATTTTTTTTTTTATATATGTACTCCGTGAGATTTCTGAAATAATTCTTCATAACATAAAACCAATAACACAATTGGAATATGAGAGAGAAAACAAAACCAGGGCTCCCACAACGACCCCGCTTTCGTCACCGGGTCCCCAATAAGTAGCTCCCGAGACATGACGTCATTGCGCCTCAGCACGCATTACATCACATCGTCATACTACTCTACACATGAACAAGTGCTGTGTTTAAAGAAATACCATTATTCGCAATTAAATTTATTTTCCCGCGATTTGCAAACCCGGTCAGAAAATCTTACGGGGTGGTGTTGGTGCGTCAACAAAATCAGTTATCGTGATCTCGAAGCAGTGAACACGAATGTCGTTTCAAATTTAGATTTTGGATCTGGTTTATGAGGCCCGGTGTGTGTTATGCTGCACCAGTGTACCGCCAATACGCCCGTTTGCCTGAAATGATGTTACAGAAAAGTTGATCTTTTGAATTTCAGCTTGTCTAGATATCTTTCAAAGTTATCATAACAGACTGAGGTCGTGGTAGAGTAGACTTGCAACGATGATTTCTTGCTGGGACTAAATAATGACCACATTGTAACATGCCTGGGGTGCTGGATGCCATCTCTAGTCTCGTGGCAATTTGTCTTTTAGAGGCTTGACATTATAACTGCGGGACCTGTTTGTCAAAATGAGCACACGGCAGAGGGATAAAAAAACTAAAATCTACAATAACCACCTGCTGTGAAAGTTGAGCTCCACGTTCTGTAAATGCGTTCACAGGTAAAGGAAAAAATCCCCAGTGTAATACGCGGCTACGCGATGACCTCGGCACGTATGAAGTTGGTGATGAAGATTTTTCCGGGAGGCAGGAGATGTTTCCCCGGAGAATAAAAAGCAGCCCACCACATGGTTTAAATGACACAGACCTTCATGATGATGACGACACGAATAGCATCGACACTTCCAAAAAAAGGTACATGTTCAGTATTACAGTTTACACTGAATCAAATAACAGCTCATGTCAATGCATGTGGGAGTCATTGATGCAAAGGGCCCCAATTAGTGCACTGCAGAAACGCACTTATTTTGGTATACTCAGAAAAAAAACGTAGGACTTATTTTTTTTAAACGGGTGTCATTAGCCATTCAGGTGCGCTAAGATGTTCAACCACGAAAATATATACCTTTTGCAAAGCATTATCGATTTGGTGTTTGAACATCTTAACACCTGTTTCATTGCCAGAAAGGGTCAAAGCTATTCCAATTTTTTCATCAGTTTTTATACTGGCACAATGGTTCCATAGATATTAACCATTAAATGAGTTGTATGGTCAAAAGAGAAGGGTCAGGGTTGTCAAAGGGCAATGCATTTGACAAATTATCATGCTGTCATAATGTATGCTTTTTGGCCGAGTGCAGTCTCCTATTTACAATGTCTGTCACAGTAGCCAGAATTACTATCTAAAAAAAAACGATATTTTTTGTGCGAGTTTTGAACATCAATTGGTGTCATGCCTAAACTCATGATGATGGTCAAGGGGTAGTGTTGCACGAGAAGTTTGTGAAGTTGTATGCATGTCTGTATGTATGTATGTTGAAATTCTTTTGCACCGTACTCAACCAACCGTGCTATTCGGAGGTGCAGGGAAAGGACAACAAACTAAACAGAAAACGCAGTTTTTCAGAAATTAATTTTCCATCTCGATTTAAAAGTGCAAAGCTCCAGGGGCTTCCCAAGTTGAAAGAGACGTCGGTAGGGCTTATGAAGCAGTAGGTCGGGCCGACGTCAGGAAAAGCAAGACCCCTCCGTGTAGACTGGGCTCGTGATCAAGTGGGCTTGGTTACGTGAAAGTAGGTGCAGCTGACAGAGGAATTTCCTGCCAGCTCCTCCCAGCAATGTGGTAGCCACATAGCATACAGGACTATAGACACGAGGCTGTGAGTCCGTGCACATCGTTTACATGTCCATCAAAAATAGTTTCTGATGATTACTCGAGAAAATTTGATGGAATAAAATTCCGCTTCATTGACCATCTGAAAGTTGACTAACCGAGACTGCCAAAAAGCGCCGTGGTGACATCACCACCACTTAGTGGGGAACGGTGATTGTTGTTCATCGGATTGGTGGTCATGTGGTGGCGATTGTGGTGATGGTGGTGATTATGTGGGGGCCGTTGGCCCCCGGGGTCCCTCCCGCCTGCATCCCCTATTTCGTTTACGTTACCCCACTTCCCTATTTACCCGCTACGGTTTCGCCAGCATTCGAACATGACGCCCCTACTGTTACAGCCTCACGCCGCGCTCCCACGCTGCGAGCATACGTGCGCACAGCATCATCAATCAAACGCCACACTCCCCCTCTTTACACCGCTACGTGCAGCTCTCGCACACTGTGAGCGTGTGTCCGTCTATAGCCCTGTGCGGCACTCGCCTCCACGTCGAATAACCACGTTACCAATACGCATCCGTATCCGACACGTAACGAACGTATGCGCACTCATGCACACAGCTCCCCGCGGCACTCACTCACCACTGAATACTCGCGTTATGATCGCGCACCTGTATCACACACGGGGTGAACACACGCGACACCCACTCTCGCACCGCTCTGCTCAGCGCTCCCCCGAGGCGAGCCGCAGCACTACAGAACCACTGCGTACACACGCTCACCCGCGCGCTCGGCTCCGCGCAGCGCTCACTCACGTGGCGAACCACTGTGCACACAGCGCACCCACACACAGCTCTGCGCGGCACTCACTCAATACAGACCACTCACGTTAGGAGCGCGCACCTGTATTATACACGTAGTGAACGTGCGCGCACACACGCATACAGCTCCACACGCGATACCCACTCTTGCGCCGCTCTGCGCAGCGCTCGCCGCCTGCTGGCCGCTCACGTTATGATCGCGCACCTGGGGTACGCCGATTACGCACGCCGCGAGCTTACGCATACACAGTACCACACGCGTTCCCACACGCTCACACTGCACGACAAGATCACGCGAGACCACGCTTCGCTATTAATGATTTATTACCTGGTAACTAATGTTGAATCAGTGGGTCGACGAGGCTGGCCTATTCCACTAAACCGGCACCTATTCCCTATTTATCGACTATTATCCTACTTCACCTCCCCACTCACTGTTTGGCGCCCGCGGAGGTTCGCTGCTCTCTGCGCTAACAGCGTACCTCGATGCGTCGCACGGACGTCCGGGTCGCTGGCTGGAGCTGCTGCTGGTCCGCTGGCCTGGAGAGAAGAGAGCCCCTTCCCCCTTGCGCCCCCCCTATTTATTCTCCCTACCTCAAAGGGATGCTGCGCTGAACAATGGGCTCGTGCACCTCGAGCCCGCGCCCGGCGGTTCCGGGCGCTGTTGATATGCTAATCAGTGAGCGACGTTGGCGGCGTACATCCTAATTAACCCCTTACCCTCCCTAACAATGGGGCCTGCGCGCTCAAGCGCAATTATCCCAACCCTCCATGACTATGCGCAACAGCCCCTGTGATCCCGCTATTCATGCTGTCCCGTGCCTCCCCTGCTTGCCCCGTCGACTCGTGGGGGTGTGTGTGGGGGAAATGCGCCTCAACCGCGGTGGCCGAATGCCCCACGCCGCGACCACACCATATTAAGGCCGGCCGCAGCGCCGCGGTGCCACGTAGCACGGGGGAGGTCATCCAATTCCCTGATCGCCGGAAACCGTGAGAATTAATCCCGATAAGGGTCTCTCGGATAAAAAACCGGTCGGCCAGGCGACCTCCCCTCGGAGCTCTATGGGGGGGGGGGGAAATGAGTGCGGGTGTGTTCATGTGAGGTGAGGTGAGGGGGACGCGGGGTCGGCTCCGTTGCTTGGTGGTGGCGAGGTCGGGGATTTGGGTGCCTGCCGAACGGCTTCGCGGCGGCGGCATCACAATTACAGTGATGGTAGTGATTGTGGTGATGGTGGTGATTATGTTTGTGCTGATGGTGATGGTGATTAGGTGGAGGAGGCTCTGCACTTCTCGCTGGGACCCCGCTCTTCCCGTTATCTTCGCCGTGACCCCCACGTATGCTCGCGCCACACAGAAAGCGGATCTCACGCGCCTTTCGCACACCATGGCCCTGGTGCCCAACTTGCACTGGCTGGTCGTGGAGGATGCGCCCGCGCCCTCGGCTCTCGTCTCCGCCGTGCTCCGCAACGCCTGGCCGCTATCCTACACCCACCTGCACATGGAGACACCTAAACAGGACCCCCTTAAGGTGACCAACATCAGCTCGATCACAATCATTATAAGCTTGATCATCATCATCAGCTTGATCATCATCGTGGTCAAACGATTGTACAAATGCCTCCAATATGATAGACACAAAACATAAAATACAAACACATGACACCAATATTTAGCAGCATTATTCTTATTCTATCTAACATTATTATACGTAACATTTTCAGCTCATGAACACTGATGAATATAAGCAAAACTGTCTGTAATGTTTCTATGTGCAATGTAGCTGGGCAGTCAGTGTCTTTCTTGTTCAGTGTACACCTGTAATGAGTCGGACGACGAAGTACTAGGAGCGACTATTTTTTTACGCAACACAATCTTGGTCCGGGCTTGGTGCTTGATCTTGAAGCTGCACTTTCCCTCGAACGTCCCACCCTCTTGTGCTTTGCCCTCTTATATCGTTCCACTTACCTTCCTAGAATGTTCCCTCACTGTATTTCCCTTAGCCAATCCCTGTCCCTCCCCTCTAACGGATCGCAATCGTCGCCTCGGGGTTCCACTTTGTTTCCCACCAATTCTCATTCAGACCCATTCCTCCAATCACTTCAAAAGCTTGCCTCCCGATCCCTCTAGAGGCCTCTTTCCACCAAATGGAAACCTTGGTTTATCTTCGAATAGCCTGTAGGCTGCACATTGGCTTGGGGTAATTTTTTGGTCATTACACACCTATCATCATCATACAACACAAACTTCTTCATCATCACCATGATCATGTCCAGTGGCTATTGTGAGCCAGACATTATTTGGTCAAGAGCCTCGATTTTTTTTTTATCTAAGGGGCTTGCACTTATGAGCAGGATTTAGAAGAACATTATCATTATAAGACATCAGGTAATACACAAAATAATGCGAAATCAGCCATGATAGAAGATTCCCGCAGCGCATTGTAAGTTACAGGCATCCCCCCTATAATCCTCAGGCTTCGTTCTCGGTAGGTGTGGACCTCTTTCGCACCGTATGTAGCCATTCGTGCTAGTTTGTGGTCGCAAACGGAGCGCTACATGAACCAGCACTGTAGGAGGCCATTATTACATCGCTCCAATTGAGATGCGATCCGGACCGCTATCTTTTACCTATAAGCGATATGAGGGCTTCATTAGGGTATCAGTAACGGCTTTAATAATGATTCCGTATACAAGATAAATTATTTCAACATTTTATGAAAACAAATAATAACTTTTCATAATGGCATAAAACATACAATATTTGATTTACTCCACAGTGCATTCGGTCGGAGCTTGCATAAGATTAACCACCGCCTACCGTAAACACACGTTCCGCGAGAAGCTGTATAGTACAATTCAATGGGATTACTCAATCCGTAGATCGCCAATCAATATAGTGATTAACCCATGATGAATCGATACGCTAATGTGGCTGGCGGATTGACTCTGAGCAGAATCGATGCAATAGACACCACGATTCATTTTCCACAAGACTACATATTGGAAAGACATGCCTCTATGGGTAATGCCACGCCCACTTTCTTCCACAGATGTAGTGACATCGCTGGATGTCAACATGTTGCGTGCAGTGCCCACCCTAGAGAGGCACGGCATGTGGTGTAGTGACATCGCGGATACCACAGGGGTGTGGGTGTAGTACTGGCCCTAGAGGGGCCTGGTGAGTGCTGAATAATAGCGCTAGATGGCATCCGCGCTTTGCGTGCAGTGCCGACCCTACAGGACAGGGTGTGTGGGTGCCAGCCGAAGGATGAGGTTACTCGAGGCCATTGCACTCTGGTTGAGCCGGGAGGACATGTGACCAGTTAAGTCTACAAAGGGGCCCCAGGAAGGGGCTGGGGGTGGTCATGTGATTGGGACCCAGATATCTCTAGGATTCTGGAAGGTGGACGTGGCCAAAGGCGGAGCTGGCCACTCCACAGAGATTATAAGTCGGGTCTCGAGAGGGACTGGGGTTGTTGTTCATCCTGGAAGAACCTTCGCAGACGTTCTCCATTCTACGAGTCTCCAACACGTGGCCCTGGGCTTAAAGCTGTTGGTCTCGTTCCATAGCAGCAGTTGCGTTGTAACTAGTGTAGTTAGCCTGGTGGTCACCACCATAGGTTGTTATTCTGTTAAGGGGAAGTTACCCTGTGTGTTGGAACTGAATAAATGTGTTGCCTCCAAGTCTATGTCTGCGACTCGGTTGAACCCATTACAACTCGTGTCAAAAGTGGCCAAACGTTATTTTGTCAGTAAGATTGGCCGAAAAGGTTATGCTTACGCGAAGCAGACTACGTACCAGGACGCTGTCGGACAATGAGGACGACAAAGGCGTTATTCCTCAGACAGCACTGGGGATGGCGACCCTGGAGAAAGGGAGTGAGGCGCAGCTGGCAGAGCATCGCGACGGCCATCTCAGCGACAGCTCACCGCCGTCGAGGAAAGAGCGCCACACGTTCTGCACCTACCTCGCAGAAATCCTTGAGGCCGTGGCTGCGATGGTCACGGAGCTCGACCGCGAAGAGGCAGAGGTGGAGGATAGAACACCGGAGCTGCGCAGGGTTGACCATCCCATCGCTGTTTCCCACCACCTGGAAAGCTCTGTTGCGCAGGCAGCAGACGCGGCCGCCATTTTGTTTGGGGAGAGGGGCGAAGAGCCCGCCAAATCTAAGACTGCGCCAAATTTGCCTGTTGAGATTCCATCCCTTAGGCGACGTCTACCTTTTGTTCAATAATTTTCTGCCACGGGAGGCGACTCTGTCGCCTTCAAGCGCCGGTTCCAGATGAACTGCGACCTAGCTGGATGGACAGAGGTGGAGGCGCTGAGAGCACTGCCTGCTCTGCTTGACGATGATGCCTTGGCAGAATTTTGCACTATCCCGCCGTCGGAGAGGGCCACGCTCCAACAAGCCTTTGCACAGATGGTGGCAATCTACAAACCGCTGTCGAATATTCATGATAAGTTCGCTGCGCGAACGAGGGGGAAGGTCGAGACGCCCCCCGCCTTCCGCAGTGTACTACTGGCACTAGAGAAGGCTGCCTTTCTGAAGATGGACCATGACGGAGTCGACCCACTGGTCCTTGAAAGATTATTGATGCTGGCGGGTGTGGACCAATCAACTTCAAGGACAGTGCATACATTATCAGAGTTATGTTTTTTGTTTGCATTATGACTGCAGGTATTGTGGTCTATGCAAACATGACTCCTTGTAAAAAAGGTGTCAGTTTTGTTGCCAGATAGAAGGGTAAAAAAATAATTATCATTTTTTACTGGCAAATGAGGTTCCAATGGTGACCTCAACATCGTTCTGCCGGCTGTCGACGAAGACGATTTGTTTTCTCTCAAGGTTGCAAGATGAATCCAGGCGCACCTGCTTTTGCAACGACACAAGGGGTTGGCGGCGTGTACCCGCCTCGTGAGATGTGTGATACACCCGAAGATGTGTAGCCCGTTCAAGCCTGTAATTCGGCCCAAAGCGGAGGCTGGTGGGGGGTTGGCATGGTGCGACGGAATTAACAATTTCGACGGCGAAAGACCTCTCCTCGTCCTGGGAGCAGGCTCGTCGTGTGCTACAACTGCGGCCTGCCGAGACACGTCTCGTCGGGTTGCCGCGTGCCACAACGACGCCTCCCTGGACCACCGTTGTAATCCGCCCGACCGGTCTCCACTCCACTATATCCAAAGGTGAGTTGCGGCACATCACACACTCGACACCTGAATCCACCTCATTCATCGCGTCGTGTGTCGGGTCATGAGGGTACGGATTTTGCTCGGGCTGACTGGCCGCTCTGACCGGGTGAGTGGTCGGAGTTGGCCCATAGGGTGGGTGCCGTGGCCACAGATTCATCCGCTGTTATCGGAATGATAGAGGGGGTTGAAATCAATGCTCGTCGATACTGGTGTGTCCGAAACTTTAATTTCCGAGTTGACTTTTTACATTCTGCCCCCTAAATGCCGTACCCTATGTTCCGTTGGGGTTCTGTGCTTTGCTGCAAACGGCAGCACATTGGGCATCATTGGGAAAATAACAACAGAGGTGTGTATTGGAGATATCAAATTGATGGGACCAGTTCTTGTATCAACATCCCTTGCTGTTCCTTGCTTGCTCAGGACTGACTTCCTGGGGGAGATGCCCCTGAAAATTTTGACTTATCAATGGTGCTTCGAGTTACCATTGGGCCATCGCATGGCTTTTTTGCCTTCTCCCATCGATTGTGCATGGCCAACACTAATGTGCAAGTGCTTGCGAGTAGGACTGTAAAGATTCCCCTAGGCACGCAAATGTTGGTTCCTTTACGATTGCGGAAGCCGCTTGACCAGGAGGCGACTGCAGGAGGAATCCTCCTAGGACCCTCAAACAAAGCCATTCGTGGGTTGACGTTGGTGGAGTCCAGACTCTGGTATTCAATGACTAGGAACTGTTCATTTAGGTCATGAATGCAGGGTTGGACACATCTGTCATTCAGGAGGACACCGTGCTAGCCCAAACGTCGCCCGCACTTCGCGAGGGAAACATCGTTGGCGGTGTGGGGGTCGCATCAAATATGAACCCGTAACAGGTTTCCGATGAAAATTGGATGGATACGCTTTGTTCTGAGAATTCTGAATTGTCCGAGTCCCAGAGGAGGGAGTTGAGAGCGCTTTTGCACATATTATCCAATGTGTTTAGCAAGGGCAAATTTGACATTGGCCGAACTACTCTTTTGAGTCACCACATCGACACGGGCGATGCCGCTCCCATCTGGCAGAACCCCTACCGGCTGAGCCCAATAGAAAAATAACACGTACGGCTGGTGGTTGATGAAATGTTAGCCGCCAATATTATCTCACCATCTACCAGACCGTGGGGAGCCCCGATTATTCTTGTTAAAAAGCAGGATGGCAGTTTGCGCTTCTGTGTTGACTTCCATAAGCTTAATAAGATCTCTATGGCTGACACGTATCCTCTTCCTCGAATGGACGATTCCCTGGATGCTCTAGCAGGAGTCCATTATTTTTAAACTCTTTACCTCATATCCGGATTTTGGC